CTCTCTCTCTCTTTCTCGTCCCTCGAAGCAGGCAGAGTAGTAGATTCTCGCCAAAGCAAGTCCCATCGCTGTGAGAACGTCCACGAGTTTATCTCGCTCAACGATGACACTTCTCTCGAGGAGAGGAGAGTATCATCAGTTGAAAAGGAGACCGAGGCGCGACAAACGTTTGGCTCGAAATCTCTCTTTTTGGATTTTTCTCTTTCTTTTTTTCAACGCGTAGAAAGTAAATAAGTGTAAACAGTCGTCGAATGTAATCGTCGTTCGAGAAAAGAAACGGCGTGATAGTTGGACTCGGTAGATGAGCGACTCGTAGAATGTAGAATCGACGAGTTAACGAGGGAAAATGAGAAGTGATGAATGACGGTCTGTCGGATGCTGGCAGATCTACGAGACCCTATCGGAACCCCATTAAGTGTCGTTCCTCTCCCTCGAACGAACTCGCCATTTTTCTTTCGGCCCATACCACTTCCGTTCCATTCCAATTCCGCCGTGTTAATCCTTCCTTTATTCTCGATATATATATATCGATAAGCTTCCAATAGTCGCGTCTTGAACGATCGTGAAATTTATTTAATAGGACGCGTCGTCGTCATTTATCGAAATCGAAAACCGTGGATAGACGACCGGGTCGAAAAAGTTCATCCAAGTTGCATTAAGCCACTTCTTTCCTACTCGAGCTTCCTTTCGCAACTTCGATCGCGTTAATTCGCCCATTGATTCGCCCGTTAATTCTTCAGATTGAATCTCGAGAGATCGATTAAAGTCTCTCTCTCTCACCTTTTGTTTGATATTTTCTTTCGATAATTTCCATCCGATTGGAAGAGGTTTCTTTTCATCTCTGAAGAGGAAGAGAAAATTTTCCCATTTACACAAGCATTTGTACATACAAATCGTCCATCGATTATCCTTTTTTTCGTTGGAATAATCGTTGGGGGTTCTCGTTCGTAGACGTGGTGGAAGGATTTTAAACCGATCGAATTAAACGCAAGAGCGTTAATTAATTTTTGATCGTCGTTGAGAGATCGTTGCCACTTTTCGTCCTCCAAACGTTTAATAATCGCTCGCTAGAACATCGCTTTTTCGGTGCAGCGCCGGTGTTACGTCTTTGTTTCCATTCATAACAGATGTTCGTATAATTGACGCTTGGCACCAGTTCAGATAACAGAAGCTCGGCTGGATTTCAACTTAACGCGCGTTCATTTCACGTGGATGACGCGATATGGAAATTTCCTGTTCCACGATGACGCGCACCATCACGAATAATAATTTCCTCGACGAAAAATATATACGAGAGAGGAAGTTATTATTATGCACGGCCTCTTTGCGGAAAAATCGTCAAGGAATTCGATTTGATTCAATTGTCGGCGAAAATTTCGTTTCGTGAGGGACGATTCGAATTAACTTATCGCGCGCGTAGATGAGTTGATCGAGGACACGACAGACTACGTGTCACGCCGTGTATACGAATGATCTTTGTTCCACGATGGCTTTAAATCAATGATAAGATTCATATGCGGAGAGGGAAGACGGGTGGCGAGCCGTCAACCGCCCAACAAATGTGTTCCTGCCGTGTTGTGTACGCGGGACGACTCCTCGAAATTTCACCCCTCGCTCGAAATTATCCATAACACGTAACGGCGAAACTCTTTCTCTTCGAGTTGACGAAATCTTGGAAAAGAAATTCGACGATGTCTTCCAGCTCGATGGGAAACGATATTCGTATCCTCTCGATAAAATTCTACGTGAGAAAGATGAGATCTCGAGCCAATACGTAGCCAATGGGATAATATCCCGTTATATATCGTTGCTCGGTCGAATAGGAGGAAACGACAGGGGTATATCCAGAATTGAATCGTCTTCCCCGTCTTCTAGGTCGAGCTTCGCCGCTCGTCAGCCCTATCCTACGTCTTCCATTTTTAGATTGAGAGAAAAGAAGAGAAAAAAAGGAGAGAGAAGAAAAAAAAAAACAAAACTCTGGAAGCCGAATAAACGAATCCTGCCCGAGCTCGTGCCCGCCTTCTTCTCGTCCGATCGCACAAATTGATCATCAAAACAAGCCCTGCCTGCCCTCCCCCCTTCTAATTACATATAACTCTGCCCGAATGTCCATCAAGTTCCACGAGACGACGCTGAAGCATTCGCGGTGTGGAAGACACCGGAGCGGAAGTGATATTCGTCCCGGGCGAACACCGCGTGTCGGTCGAAGACGACGGACGAAAAAGAGAAAAGAAGAGAGGGGGGGAACAAAATCTCTTCTCGCACGCGTTGTTTCGTTCTCGGGTATATATATATATATAATCGTATAGAGTGTCCCACTATTCTTTTTTTCCCTTTATCCAGTTCGACGGGGGAATTGGATAAAGCCGGCGACCAAATCAAATTGCATATAATGAACGCGTGGAAATGGGATTCGCGCGAAACGAAAAAACGGAGACGAACGAAGCTCGTTCTCTCCGATCAATTTCGTTCCCTTGGCCTTGTTTCGTATCCTTCGTATCGAGTGTCGTGCGTTGTTCGATCTTTCGAACGCGTTACTTCTTCGATTAATCGCGCGTTCGATCGTGGACACACGTGGTGTGCCACGTGTATCTAGGTTCTAGATAATGTTATACGTGTTACAATGCGGATTTGAGCAGCAGCAGGTTCGAGACCAAAGGTGCGAGCTTTCGGCCCTAAAAAGAGAAATTATTAGTCTTTAAGGAGAGAGAAAAAACCAACGTTCTTTTCTCGTAGATAGGGAGAGAAATCGCAACTCGAGATTACGTATTAGCTATTATACGGAGGTGTATTATAGGAGAGGAGGCGGGTCGATCGATCATTCGATCGCGAGAGAATGGTTGATCGCGAACACCCTTCGTTTGGGTTTGCATTGGGATCCGGCTTGCTTGTCCGCGTGTTAAATTGCGCGTGCTATCAACTCTTTTCGCTTGTAATTGTAATTCTTTTCCAACGAGCTCCAATTTTCCTCGATACTCTCTCCTGATAAAAAGAAACGACAACCCTCCCTCTCGTGAAATGGAGAATTCAGAACGGAGGTAGAATTTTTCTCTCTTTTTTTTTTCTTTTCTTTCTTACAATCGAAATTGGTCGAGCATAATTCGTGGAAACGTATTTAATAATCGCGTTATACAGATTCGATGATATCGAACGGTTCGTTTTAATAATGGTGATTCACGGCTGGGAATAATCGTGTAAATATTTCCAGCCGAGAGATTTATCGATCGATTCCTAAATTAGCGACATAAATTCGCACCATCCCCGATCTCGTTCGTATCTACAGCAAGCCGGATCCGAGTGCCGATCTCGAGTACCGTTTGAAGCCCAATCCTCGGCCATTCCACGATCAATTAAGGGTTGTCGTCCATTTTCTATTAATTAATCCGAATAAATCTGTTTGAGCGGCGAGTCGTTGTTGGATGCGTGCAAATTTGTGTAACGTTTTTCCTTCGTTTTTATCATTCTCTTAATCGAACAATTTAACGAATCCTCGTCCGTTGTGCTGTAAAGATTGAACTGTTTCCGGTATCGTCGAGCGAGCGAGTTACTCGAATAAACTTTCCAAAGCGTCGACACAGAAACCGTCCTCCTCTCAATCAAAATAATATTCGTAATACTCTTCTCCACCATTTTCATTTTCCACCATCTTCCTCGAATCGCTCGAACTCGATATTGCAACACTTTAGATCGCGCAGAAGAGTTTCAAACTTACGAGCCGCGACAACATTTGACCAGAATCGTTCGATTGATAGAAGAAACGTTTGTCACGAGCCGCGAAACGGTTATTCGGATATTCGGAAAGTATAGCGGACGAGGTGGAAATTTTCTCAAGGACATATGTCCACGCGTTCGAAACCATGGAATATATTTAGAGAAAGAAATTTGTAACTCTGGAGAGTTATCTCTTCAAATAAGTGACAAATAAGAGAGGAATCGGATCCTCTCTCTCGATTTTCGTAGATTTCCTTTTTTTTTCCCAGTGCCCAGTCCTTTGATCGAGCCGAGGATGAGATACGATTTTTAAGTAAGATCCTTAAGATCCACACATTCCAACCATCTTGTCACGATTACGCGACGCTTCTCTCTTCCGAGAAAGAAAGAAAGAAGGAAAGGAATCGGGGAGATCCTTTGACGAGGCGATATGTCTGAAAGGAAATAAAGAGATTGAGATTTTTTAATCTTCCGCGTCCTTTCGACCCATTCCCCAAACAAGTATTTCTCTGATTATGAACAAAAATTTAAACCGAGAAATCGAGAAAGTAACGATTGGAACTCGAAATACCCACATTCGCGAAGGAAGGGAAATTTCGAAAGAAGAAACTCGAGAGAAGAAAAAAGAGAAAGATCTTACTCCGATCGAATCTTCGACTTTTCAACGACCCGTCCGTTTATTTAACGTCAGGAAGAGCGCACGGATCTTTCTTCCCTTCTTTCGAATTTAATACGAATTTATTATCGATATTAGACGATGTAAAGAAGAGTTATTCTCCTCGATCTTCAAATTGCATCGCAGGTGGGCGACACACGGATCACGCTCGAGGTTCAGCACACGTTGGGGACGAATCTCGCGTCTCGGGACACAAGTTCTGAAACGGATTCAAGGAAAATGCTTTCCTTACTTCGAACGAGTTGAAACAACCGATTATGGATATTCGTTGTACACGAGTCATCCTTGCACGGTTATCGACTAGAAAATTGTACGACAACCGGCCTTGGCCTTAGAGGGGACAGTAGGTATATACACGCGTTTTCTTGTGAGAATACGTGTATATAAGCGCGTGTTCAAGGGTTCGAGGTCTCTCATTCGAGCATTTCCGCTGGAAGGAGGAAAGGCACCCCTGCTGAGCTTCGTCGTTTGACACGTACCTTGTCCGACGATCGTTCGATCATCCAGTATTTGCCGGAGGAAAGATGACGCGATCGATTTATACTCTTTTCTTTGCCATTTTTTTTGCATTCTTAAACAGAAAAGTGGATCGATAAGCTTAAAAGGGGATCTCTTTTAATCGTAATGCGACTGCGGAATAAGGAATATTGTGAAAAAATGTCGAATGTGAGAATAATAGAGATGAAATCGAAAGGATCGAATCTCGTTCTTGGACAATGTACTGATTATCCGTGGAGCACAAAATTTCGTTGTCACACTTGCGCTTCTTCACACTTTCTTGCACCTTCTCACCTTCGTTGTTCGTAAACACTTGTTTCCAGAAATCGAAATATTGTCCAATGGAATTCCAATATCCTCGTCGCGACATTCACCAAGACTTTTCGAGGACAATTTTTAATATTGGATACATTTTTCTTTTCTTTTAAATCACCTCCGAGGATAGCGTAAACGCGCAGTCGATTCCCCCTCTCCTCTTAGTTTTGCCACCAAGATCTGTGGATCAATTTTCGTCGACTTCCTCTTGGAGGCTTGGAGGTTTCCTTCCTCCCCCCCCCCGGAAGGCTTAACGACAAAAATCTCCCGAAGAACATTTCCCCCGGGACTTTTGACGCCGTTCACCGGTACAACCGGCAAAGTTTCTCGAGCTGAATTTTTCTTGCACGTGTCAACCTTCCTCCTCCTCCTCCTCCTCCTCCTTTTTCGTGCTCCAACGTCGTCGTCGTCGAGTCCTTTTTTTTTTTTTATTTCCACGGAACGGTCGCACTTGGGCGCGCGTCGTCGCGTGTTTTAGTGCGTCGCGTGGCTGGTTCACAATGGACGACGAGTGGTGAAAGAAAAAAAAGAGAGAGAAAAGGGAGAGAAGAAAAAAGGATCGCGTGTTTCACGATAAAATGGAAATTGCTTCGTTCTTTTATTTCTTCTTTTTCTTTTTTTTTTTTTGTACGAGGAAATTAGAAAATTTGTTATTATTATTATTATTATTATTATTATTACCTTGTCTCCTCTCGTTGGAATTATCTTTAAGACGTTTAAACTTCCACTGCTTATACATAGGGATACGCAGAATGAATATTTATATTATACCCGAGGATTTTTATTCGCGCGAAATTTGCGCGATATTAAAATATAGGGAGATTCTTTTTAAGTGGATAATTCGCTTCGTTCTTCAAACTCATCTACTTTGCACGAAAGAATCCAAATTTTGCGTTCAAATAATTAAAAGTTCGATTCATTTCTTTTTTTTTTCTTTTTTTTTCTTATAAAGAAATTATCGTTCCATTAAATACGCGTACCTATTCGATACTATTTTTTCTTACCTCGATTATTATGCTCAATTGTTTCCAACATTTTAATATCATTCCTTCCTTTTCGTCGTTTATTCTACACTCTGTGTCTATTCTCTCGCACTAATTTTACTCATCTCCCGTCTTTGTCCTCGTTTATCGACCCACGCGTGTTACCTAATCTTCGCCTTTTGTCCAAGTGTCACGCTTCGTTACTTCGTACTATGCAAATCCGTTTCTTGATCCGCCAACATTGCGATTCCTTTTTCTCGTTCGAACAACGTTTCGTACGAAACGTGTCTTTGTACGCGTTGATTAATCTATTCTGTCTTTCTTCTTTTCTTCTTCTTCTTCTTCTTCTTCTTCTTCTTCTTCTTTGAAGGAAACACGTGAAATCCATCCATCCATCCAGCCGAGGCGAATCGATCGATTCATGGAATAGAGATAAATATTTTTGTTTCCTCGAACGTGTATAATTTCAACTTCTGTCATAGATTGTCGTTAAATCTCGATAGGCAGTTTTCCTTGATCCCTTTGTTCATGCATACGAGAATATCCTTCGAGTCTGACGTTCCTTCCTGAAGATTTTCAGGAATAAGATACAATTTCACGATATATCATTTTCTTAGGGATCGAAACTTTGTTAAACATCGAAGAAATTCTCGTCACACGTTGACAAACACATCCCCAAATATTAATACGAATTATTGTGCGAGATACGTGTGTCATACAGTGGTAATTAAGGTTCCTCTTGCTTTCGTTTCTATTCATTAAATGCAAAATCGGATAACGCCGATGCTAATTACCCTCAAACTCTTCCTCCTTGGACAGAAACTAATTGATACAACGTGTTGCCAAGCGCGAACACGTCTTTCCACCATCGCTGCCATTAGTAATAATAAACCGTGCCAGAGAAGATCTATAACGAACAACGCCACGTGTTTCGATTCTTCGTCCCAGAAACGTTTTAACTCTAAGCTAAATAGATATATATATATATATTTATTCCAATCAGGGAATACATTTCTTACTCTCGAGATTGTCCAAGATCGCTTTAACCGTTCGCAATACCCGTTGTTGAACGACGATTCTAAGATTCCCTTCACAAAGAATTTCGAACGAACGAGCTTCCTCGGAAAGAACGACGAGATTCGGGAGAAAAAAAAAAAAAAAAAAAATAAAAAATCGTCGATTTTTCCAAACTTTCCGACTCCTGTGCTCCTCCAATGGCTCGTTATCTCGCTTTCGTTGTATGGCGCGTTGCCTGGTGGAGAAGGCGAGGAAATAAAAGAGAGAAAAAGAAAAGAAAAAGAAAGGGAAAAGAAAGAATAAATTAAATAAATTGTCACCGAGCGCGTCGAAATTAATTGCCCCAATAATAATGCGTATTATAATATATAACACGAGTTGCTTTCATGAATAATGCATAGCCGAAGGAACACCGGGAGCCTGTAGTGGAGCATCCACTTCAGATCAGCCAGGCAAGATAAAATTGAATCTTAAGTGTCCGTCTGAAAAGCTCCGTCAATTCACTTTTTAACGTCGGCCCAGTAACGAGCACCATCTTTTCGACACTTCTACCAACCAGTCGAGTTTTATCCACCACCTCACATCCGTGTTCCACCACCTCCTCGAAAACAAACCAAAACGTCTTCGATTTATCGAGAGAATTAAACGATCGATGAAAATTTTTCGATCCCCGAATAATTGGAATCCATGGAAATCGTGGCTCGTGGGTCGAAATATGCTGAGGTGCGTTGCTTGTTGTGCGATATCATCTCTTTTCTGTATACTTTCGTTTCTCTCTCTGTCTCGTGAAAGATGGATCAATCATTTCAGGCTAGAATTTGATTTTTCCTTCTTCGAGAAAGAGAGGAGAAGGGAATGGGATCGTCAAGATACGATCGAAATTCGTAAAATTACGCCACCCCTCACCATTTTCGAGCCCCTCGACCTACATTTTCACGCCGTTGATGTTGATCACTGCTCCTCTCCCCTCCACCCCAATTTTTGCCCCACTTAATCGTTATTAGAAACCGATTGGTCCGTTATATACACACTATATGACACACTATATATACCATATAGCTGGTTCGATTAAATATATATTGTATATAATTGTGCGTGGATCATTGTTACTTTGTGTATGTTTTTAATCCGATCAAGGGTACGAAGCGAGAGTATTTCCCCGCGCGGGGAAAGGAAAATTCGTAGAACGAGGAGGAGAGGGCATCTCGACCCGATACAGGCATCTTGTCTCTTTCTCTATCAAATGTATCAAAATTTTCGGCAAAATTATCGGCTAAAAATCGAGTAAACACGAAATATTCGAAATATCACGTTGGGGAGGAGAGAGAGAGAGAGAGAGAGATGTCTGTGTCGTTTGGAAGCCGCCACACAGAAGCCCTTCTGATCGATTTTCCTCGCTCGAAACGAAAGAAGGAACAACGGGCCACGACGATAATAAATCATCTCGTTTCTCGCCTCGTTCCGTGAACGAGTGTCAGGGATTGGGGAAATTCGGAAATCTCCTCGTGGGCCGCATACGTACATCAATCATCCCCCCCCCCCTCGATTGTTTCGAGACCCGATTGTTGCAAGAAAATTAATTAGAAACCGGTCAGCCTGTCGGCTCGCCTCGATTACAGCCGGTGGTGGCGAAGAAGGTGAAAGGAAAAAGTAAGAGAAAAAGATTGAAGAATCCTCCGCACGGAGGATCGAGGAGAAGATCGAGGAGAGAAGAAGTACTTGGTAATTATTGTCAAATCATCGATCGATAATTATGAAGCGGCCTGCCCTTCCTCTCCTCCGTGATTCGCATCCAATGTCGTCGCGGGCCTTTCAACAACGTTCATATTAATTATCGTTCAACAGGTAAGTGGGCGGACGAATGAACCGGCTGTAAACGTAGCGACGAGGCAGGCTGCTGCCTTTGTTCGTGTGCCAATTTTTACGAGTTTGTACGTAAAATTGAAAATCGGTAGAAATCGGTAATGCGATGTATGCA